TAAAAATATTTCTTTCTTTGCCTTACAAAATGTTCTGCTGGGAAAAAAAAATATCCGAGTCTTAAAACTAGGAAGGTAATAGATGAGCCTGAGCCGGGGACATTTTAACAGCCCAATATCTCACTTCTAGTGAGAAGGCTCGGAAACTGTGCTTTATCACCTGGGGGACCGGTGATGCTGGGAATTCAGGGCTGGCTTCAAAGAAGGGTGGAGAATGCCATTGGCAGTTTGGTGCTCGGGTGTGTTTGAGGCAGTGAATCAGTTTGCAGTGGTGGGACCACCCAGAGACCTGGCAGGCGAGTCAAAGACCAGGAACTTTGAGAACAATGGGTCGTCTAATTTCATGACTCTCCACAGCTGCTGGTACATGCCCGTCATCATGGAAAGGGGAGAGTAAAGCAAGTGCCATCCCCCATAGACCTCCTGTGCTGGTTCACTTCACCTTTATTATTTTCCAGAATGGAGAGGCAGGATCTGTTCTCCATAATCCCAGAATGTCAGACACGTAAGAATGGGCTCAAGCTATAGGAAGTCAGATTTTGGCTGGATATTACGAAAAACATCTTAACTGTTAGAGCAGTACAACAGTGGAACTCATGATCTTGGGATGTGGTGAGTGCTCCAGGGCTAGAGGCATTTAAGAGAAAATTGGACAACCATCCGTCAGATCTGCTTTGATTTGGATTCATGTCTTGAGCAGCAGGTTGGACTTGATGGCCTTCTAGTCCCCTCCCGACTCAACTGTTCTATATTGGACTTGATGGCCTTCTAGGCCCCTCCCGACTCAGCTATTCTATGATTCGATGACTCCATGATAAGAGAGAGGTACAGTATATAGAATTACGTATGCAGTGGAGCAGTTGTGTCACTCAAGCCCTGGGCCATCCTCTTAAGCTGAATGGTGAAAGGTTTTGTTGTTGCTTAGTTGTTAAGTCGTGTCCGACTCTTCGTGACCCCGTGGACCAGAGCACGCTAGGCCCTCCTGTCTTCCACTGCCTCCCGGAGTTGGGTCAAATTCATGTTGGTCGCTTTGGTGACACTGCCCATCCATCTCGTCCTCTGTCGTCCCCTTCTCCTCTTGCCTTCACACTTTCCCAACATCATTTATTTATTTATTTATTTATTTATTTGATTTTTACCCCGGCCCTCTAGATCATGTCTCCTCGGGGCGGGTCTTTTCCAGGGAGTCTTCTCTTCTCATGAGACGGCCAAAGTATTGGAGCCTCCGCTTCAGGATCTATCCTTCCACTGAGCACTCAGGATTGATTTCCTTCAGAGTGGATAGGTTTGTTCTCCTTGCAGTCCAGGGGACTCTCAAGAGTCTCCTCCAGCACCACAGTTCAAAAGCATCAGTTCTTCGGCGGTCAGCCTTCTTTGTGGTCCAGCTCTCACTTCCATACACCACTACAGGAAAAACCATAGTTTTGACTATGAGGACTTTTGCCGGCAAGGTGATGTCTCTGCTTTTTAAGATGGTGTCAAGGTTTGTCATCGCTTTCCTCCCAAGAAGCAGGCGTCTGTTAATTTCGGGGCTGCTGTCTCCATCAGCAGTGATCATGGAGCCCAGGAAAGTAAAATCTGTCACTGCCTCCATATCTTCCCCTTCTGTTTGCTAGGAGGTGATGGGACCAGTGGCCACGATCTTAGTTTTTTTGATGTTGAGTTCCAGACCATTTTTTGCGCTCTCCTCTTTCACCCTCATTAAGAGGTTCTTTAATTCCTCCTCACATGGTGAAAGGTTTAGGACAGAGCAAAGAGCAGACCTTCTCCAGATGTTGCAGTCAGTGGAACCCTTGGGCACAAAGTTCACTGATGTCCAACTGGCTTGGAGGGAGAAGTAGGCATATCAGCGGCTGTTACCCGTGATGTGTGTGTTATGTGCTGTCAAGTACCATCCAATGTGTGGTGACCCTGGTAGGGTTTTCAAAATATGTGAGATCTGTAAGAAGTGGTTTTACCAGTGTCATCCCTTCCCACTGTCCGTTGAGGATTTCCATGGCCAAGAGGGGGTTTTGAACCTTAGCCTTCTGAGTCCTAGTCTTTTGCTGTACCCACTGCGCCACACCAGCGCTCCTGACAGCTCAATGGACCTTCCAGGTATGAAAACCTTGTAACTTAAAACTTCTGACTCCAGAGGACACACTGCCTACTGCCTTGATCTCCCACCAGGCAAGCTTCCCAGAGGTGTCCTCTGGCTGTCGGACACTGGGTGTGAATCTCGCTGGCCTTTTGGCCTCTGCCAGCAGGGCTTTGCCCTCTATTCTGAGGTGGCTAAAAAAATCAGCTGAGGAATTCATAAAAATGTCTTTCCACTGGGCCTCATTTTACAGCATGCCAGTTCTTCAAAGGGAATTCTAGCAGATCTTGATTTAGAAACTGGGGTGTTGCGTGCGTGGAGAGAGAGAGAGGGGTAATCCTGGTAAACTTTCCCAAATACTGTAGATGGAAGCAAGAGCCAAAGAAACTTCTGCCCAAAAGAGAGAGAGAGAGAGAGAGAATCCTGATAAACTTTTCCAAATACTGTAGATGGAACCAAGAGCCAAAGAAACTTCTGCCTGAAATGTGGAAAAGAGAAACGGTAGCATAATGTGCAGTGCTATAAAGATTTTACCAGCTCTCCTTCAGGATGGTCAGCATAACTCACCCAGGGCGCCGCCACTCATGAGTAATGCTGCCTTCCCAGATCTCTGCCCATAAAACCTTTATATCATGGCAGACCATCAAGCATTCTTTTTTACACCGCTAAATAAAACAGCATCGTCAGCTTTAGAAACACAGCAGGGAGAAGGCGAGCCAGATCGCCATTCCACTGAGCAGCCACGAAGCCGTTTCCGGATGGCTGTTTTTGAGGTGACCCGAGCCTTTTCTCTAGGTTTTTATTCCCAAGACCCGAAGGATGTTCACAAGACCTTCATGGATGGAGTCCGTTTGTCAAAAATTTTGTTGTTTAGGGCCACCGGCCTTTACAATATGCAATGTGTGATGTAAAAGGCAAATCCAGGTTTTAAAAACATACATTTCAGAACTCCACAGTGCCTCAGAAAGTCTCTGTTCAATACAAAAGGGACACAGAGGTCTTGAGTGGCAGAAATTCTTTAGTAAGGAATATTGTGTGCATCCACAGAAAAACTGGCCTGGTTCAAAATGTGAGGCTGAGATTCCGGACCTCGGTCACTGTTTTGGTCAACGGTTCTAAATAAAGGATCCCCTTAGAACTGCTGAATCATGGAGTCCATCCAGCCCCCGTCAAGGAAGTGCCACGGGGGTGTGTGTGTGTGGATCAACCTGTGGATCTGTGGCTCCGCAGCCGGAGACCTAAGCCACTGATCTCTATCCGGCAGTTCTGTAGGATGAACTGTAGGCCTGCCATAGAGGAGGATGCTTGGCACGCAGATAGTCCCAAGTAGGTGATTAGAGAGGCCTTCTCCCATGTTTTTATTCATCTTGGCATGTTTGTTAGTTCTAGTTTTAATTCTTTTATTGTTCCACCCAGTTTAGCCACACACTGCCCCGAAATGCTAAATATGATGAAGGGTGGCATAAAAAATTATTTTCATTGACTAAATACATCTAAAGAAACAGCACCCCAACTGCTGCTGGCAGAGAAGACCAAGCAATGTATAATCAAAATGAAACACCAGTGACATATTCGGAGTGAATCCAATGAACTTTCTATTACCTTCGCAGTGGTGGAACTTGAAAATGGCGCAAGAAACTAGTAGTGAGATAAAGCTATTAAAGTAGCCCGTCTAGTCAAAAATAGTCTATTTCTCTTGATACTTTAATTTGTTTTTAGTATACGGTATTTCATATATTTAAATTGAGTGACACTCTGATACGAATATAGAAAGAAAGAAAGAAATCTCTCTGCCTGAGGAGTGGCGCAGTTGCTCTCCGTCCACTGACTGGATAATACGGTGCAAGATGATCCAGTGGTTGGGACCTGGAAGGAATAAGGCAATTTCCATTCCTGGTCTGCTATGGACAAAACTGTTGCTGGTGATACACCAGGAAGGTCAAATGGCCCATGTGGCTCTCCATTTCATCACGGTGCTTCCATGTGGCCAGCTGTGTGCCTTCTGTGGTTCTGGGGGGACCTTTGGAAATGGATTAAGCGCTGCAGAGGGAGCTGCTGAAGAGTGGGCACACATAGTGTGACAGACCCCCTTGTCAAGGTACCAGCACGGCTGCTGCCATATCCATATCACGAATCTAGTTGTTTCGTTTTCCATCAGAGGCAGGGTTTTGAAAAGCTAATGGCTCTTCATGGCCTATTCGAAAGCAAGCTGCTGCCAAGTACTTTGAAATTAGCACTCTGCGGCCGTGAAGATGAAAATCTTTGTATTCTCACGGCTGGGATCTGATGGTTGTTGTGGTTTTTTTTCGGGCTCTTTCGCCGTGTTCTGAAGGTTGTTCTTCCTGATGTTTCACCAGTCTCTGTGGCGGCATCTTCAGAGGACTGGAGTAGGACAGAGCATGGACAGAGTTCCTACTCCAGTCCTAGGAGGATCCCGGCCACAGAGACTGGTGAAACGTCAGGAAGAACAACCTTCAGAACACGGCCAAAGAGCGCGAAAACACCCACAACAACAATGAAAATCTTTGCTTTCCATTTGGGGTGAAGTTCCCAATCATTACACCTGTTTACACGTGGAGTATGTGACTGCAGTATCTTGTGTATCCCAGGAACCAGCAAAGAAAAAGCGCATTAACAAGATTGACATTGGTCAGCAGTCAGGGTGGGGGACAGTGTCTGGATTGTAGCTCAGGAAACTTTGCACTGAAATGAGTTGACAAGTCTTAAAGGTGCCACAATATCTGTGTATGCGTGTGTGCGCGCATGAGTGTGTTTGCGTTTAAAATTAAGACCAAAGTCCTTAAAACGTCATTTTTTTGTTGCTGCTGGTTGTTGCACCTGGTTTCTTGGAAGTCGAGAGGAAATGGCCAGGCAGATTTTTTTAAAAAAGGAAAAGAGTAACTCTCTTCTCTCCCTCCCGCAGGTTGCCCGATCTCAAGGAAGAGGCATTTTTCTCTTCCGGAAGCTCAAGGATGTGATTGACTGGAGGAAGGTGAGATGCCTCCTTCTTCTGACCTCTCAGGAAGGGATTAGTTGGGAACAGCCCACCTTAAAGCTTTGCCCGGTGAGCAGCATCTTCGCATCAGCTGCGAGAGGCTGAGGTCCCTGTCTTTTTTTCCCCTGTCCTGTCTCTGTCGGTTAAATCTCTATATGTGGATCATCCCACCCTTGAGCAGAGTGGTGGATCTGACAGCGTTTGATTTCTTCCAGCTCCGAGCGGTTGTACTATGTTTGCCGAAGAGCGGTCGTGCTTATATGTTGCAGCAAAACCCACAACAAGTCTTGTGGCACCTTTGACGATTAACCAATTGCAGCATGGGCTTTCATGAGCTATAGCTCACCTGTCAGGTGCATGAAATTTTTACCTGCCATGCAAAAGAGAGACACCTGTTTGGCCCGTGGGAAGACATGCATTTTCCTCTCACCTCTTTAGTTTCAGTTCTTCTCCGACCCTCCATTTAACTATACGCACACACATATATTGGTGCATCACATGACTTTAATATGATGTGTGTGTGCTGAAGACCACAAAAACTGATGGCACAATAAACTTACTGTTCCTTAAAGTGCCACAGGTCTTTATCGTTTATGACACATCTTGGCTTCTACCTGGGAAACCTCAACGATTCAGTATTTTGAAATTCTGCACTGTGGCTTCTTTGGCCAGGGAAATCTGTGAATTGTCTCTGAGAGGATGCCGAGCATATTGCTACTCTCTCTGCATAGCTCCCCCACTCAGGATCTTAGTTCAGTTTAAATCCCATCTGACAGGCTGAATCTTACAGCAGTCACAATGAAATGTAATGCTTCTTCTAGAGCCGCTTACAAGTTTTGGCAAGTTAGTCCTTGAAGGTTCGGGGAATGATGCTCCCCTTCAGGGTATGGATGATCTTTGTATCTGGCATCCGGAAAGAATTTGCCTCCCGAAATATAGACTTGTCTTGCTTATGTTTGCTTTCAACAATATCATGAGACTCGGGTTGATTCCATGTCCAAGGGCATATTATTCTGTAGCATTTCCATGAAAAGCAGGCTGCTTATAGAATGCCCCATAGCACTTCAAGCACTCTCTGGGTGGTTTGCAATTTAATTATGCAGGCTACACACTGCCTCACCAACACCACCAACAGCAGATTGGGTACTCAATTTATCAACCTCAGAAGGATGGAAGGCTGAGTGAACCTCAAGCCAGCTACCTGGGATTGAGCCTTGATCATGAACAGAGTTTTGGCTGCAGTTCTGCAATTCAACCACTGCATCAAGAGGCACATGATGTACCAAGTCTTTCATTGTAGCACACGGTGCTATAGAAGTGTGACAGGTTGTGCGGTTTGAGCCAGATTGCCTTTTGATCCCTTCCATGCTTCTGAATATCTCTTTTGCGTGCTATAGACAAGCAACAGGAGCTGTGAAAAAAGACAGTATTTTGCCCAGTGTGATTGCTAAATCAGAGCTGAGAAAATGTGTCCTTCCCTTAGGACTGCTTGGGGAGAAAGGCAGGATGTAAATAAAATAAAGCAATAATGACTAATACATCTCTTATCCCCGATATAGCAATCAACCAGACTCTGAGGGTCAGCAAGAAAAAAGTTTAGGAGAAACTGGATACAAGTTCAGTTCTTCCTAATCTAAGCAAGTCACCTGATTTCCCCCCCCCCCACAGGATGGTGTTCGCCTCGATGACCAGAAGGATGAAATTCCAGTAGAAAACTACGTAGCTCAGCGCTATATTGAGAACCCATATTTAATAGGAGGTAAGTTCTCGGGTGATGGTCACCCTGCTCAAGCGTTACAGAATGCAATTTCCTCAACATACTCAGAAGATAGCAAGTGGGCTTCCCCCCTTCTTTGCTGTTTCTTTGCACGAAGGAAAATCAGTTTGAAGAGGAGAGGTCCTTGCTGAGGCTGTACATGCCAAAGTGAAACTCAATTGTCCACGCCCACGCTCTCCCATCGTTTCCTTCACAGGAGCGACGGGGAGTCTGAAGACAAGGGAGTCTTGCTCATGCAGAGGGTCTTCCATGCAACCCCCTGTTTTCCAGGGTTCTTTCAGGCAGGTAGAGTCTGACTGCAGACAGAAAGGTCTCTCTTCATTGCTGCTTGTGTGAAGAAAGCAGCAATGGTGGGAGGCAGGATGGGGTGCCCCCAGTAAGCCAGTTGAAGAAGCCACATGCTGTGATGCCAGAACAGCACCAAAGGCAAGGGGGAAAGAGTAGACATCATTGTGTGGTGCCCATTCCTGTCACCTGCATGGAGACTAGTGGCTCACTCTTCGGCAGAAAACAGCAGGAAAGCCCCAGAGTCCCTCCACGTTGCGTTGTCAACTGCCCACGATGGATAAGCGCCTAGCCAGTTGGAGGGGAATGATGTTTCCAACCCATCAGTGAGGCAAGACGTTATATTTCTACTGTTTCCAACTTCGTACTCCTTGCTCTGTGACTTCCCTCCCGAGTTCTCCGCGCCTGTGATCTGTTGGCACAGCTGTTTTGTCGACTGCATGTGGCAGTGGTGCAGACCTCACAGACAGTGAAGCCTTCTGTCTAATTTGGCGTTAGCCCTCTGCGGAGGAGACTGCCTCCCCCCAAACAGGAAGGGTTGCGGAGCCCCAAGGATGATGAGTGAACGGGGGAGAACTCCACATTGCCTTTGGAGAATGAGGCCCTATTGGCCCTGGCAGGAAGGTTGCTCCTTTGCTTACAGGATTGTTTCCCGCTGCAGACTGGGTTCGAAGTGTCTCTCTCAAGGAACACTGAATGGTGGGATTCATAGGAGTGTAGAGCCGGAAGAGATCTCAAGGGTCGTATGTCAAAAACTGTGTTGCTTGGCACAGACGACAGATCTCAAGGGTCGTATGTCAAAAACTGTTGCTTGGCACAGACGACTACAATAGAGCAGGCCCACTGAATCAATGGGGATTCCATGAGCTGGCTCCTCCCAAGGTTCCACTTACTGTATTCCATTCGTCCAACTCTATGACTTTCCCATTTGGAAGAGACCCTTGTCCAGCAGGCCCAGGCAAAGAGGCAGTCCTGAAACCAGCAAAACCAGGGAGTGGAACAGGGGACAGATTGTATTGGACTTCAGTGTAGAAGGGAGAAAGATGTAAATGGCAGGGTCCCCCAAGGATCAATATTTCGACTAGCTCTTCTTAATCTGTTCATAAATAAAAGTTATCAGTGAATGGTGGGATGACTGGGTTTGTTGATGATGATGATACATAATAATTTATGATAGTTAACAAGAGGTCCAAAGGGATATCTCCAAACTAGAGGAACAGACATTAAAATGGCATACAGTATAGTGTTCAGTATAAGTGAACTTCTATATGCCAGTAGCTGAGGAGTCCTTCTGAGCGTTCAGCCTGGAGGCAGGCGGTGCAGCATGGTCTCCCCCAATTTGCAGAGGTGCTTGTTCAACAGGATAGGCGGTGCAGCATGGCCTCCCCCATTTTGCAGAGGCGCTTGTTCAACAGGATGAGGCAAAGAGGCCGTCCCAAAACCAGCAAAACCAGGGAGCTGGACAGGGGACAGATTGTATTTGTCTTCAATGTGGAAGGGATTGTGTTACTCTCGAATTGGCCTCCTCTGCCACACTAGACGCTGTTCCAAGACCTCTGCTCAGAGCACGTGGCTGTTCCAAGACCTCTGTTCAGAGCACGTGGCCATCGTCTCTGGAGACTGAACGATGCCTAATCTAAAAATGGGAGACTGAAGGATGCCTAATCTAAAAATGACTTTCTTTAACAGTAACTCCCAGGGAGAGTTGGCCCATTTGAATCAATGGAACGTAGGGAGCAGCCGGCTCGCAAAATCGCCCTTGATTCAGTGGTTCTAGCACTATTTGCTATGTTAAACAAGTTATTGGCTACAGAGTCCAACACATTCTGGAAGCAAGACATCCACAACTCAAGCATCCAACTGGGGATAATCATCCCACCTATGTTTACGTGCCTCTGGTGAAGGAGAGTCTGCCACCTCCCAAGGCAATTGTTCCATTTTAGAAAGCTCTGATTATCAGGGTGTTTTTAATATTTAGTGTAAATCCACCTTCTTGTAATTTGAATCTCTTGCTTAGGATCTACCTTCAAGAGCCCCAGAAAATTTATTCATCTTTTATGTGCCAATTCTTCAAATACTGAAAAATGGCAGTTATGCTTATCAAAATGCCTCCCTATTGACAGAAGGAGAAGGATTGGGAAATGACATTTTGCAAAATATGTCGAAGTTAAAACAGAACAAAATAATAATGCCACAAGCGCAGAGGAAACTCAACATTACAATGAAAACCTCAAGGAGATGCTTTAATACAGAGAGAACAGAATAAATACAAAACTGCAGGAGGAGGAGAGGAGGAAAAGAGCAACACTAGCCTTGCTGAACCCCAAAGAGCCACTGTAAGCAGGCTTCTGTACAGGTTCAGAGCCTGCAGGGTCTTCTCATCCGCTGAGATATTACTGAGCTTCCGGGGTCTTCCTCTCCTCTCCCAAGCAGATGAACAGCTGCAAAGGGAAGATGGGGGGCTGGCGAGATCAGCAAGGCTGCTAAGAATCTCTTCTCTCCCAGCCTTCCAGATCTCCCAGCCACGAGCCACAACATTAAGATCATTTTAAACTGTTCCCATCATATATAAAATTATTCTGTTCTACTGCTGTGCATTGAATACACGGAGAGCTGCTGGAAAAGCTATGAAGGACAAGTGGCACACAAGTAAAGGGGTGACCATAGTACCAACCGCGATTATGGGCTCTACTGCTGTGCCTTTTTCTTAGCCTGGTTTCAGAATTCTATTTCCAGTTCTTTCTTCTTTGTCTCTTCCCCATCATCCTGATGTACGTAGCCCTTAAGGGCTCCATCCTCAAGTGCTTAGAGACCATTGTCCTGTGTTGCTGGCTGGCCCATAAGGGATGGGGCAGCCTTCCATGGACTCACATTGCTTTCTTTTACAGGTCGGAAGTTTGACTTGAGGGTCTACGTCCTCGTCATGTCGGTGAGTGAGTAAAAGTGATATTCCCCCACCCCTGCCTGCCTCTGATGCTATGAGTTATATCTGCGGGGAGGTGTTCAGCCTCACCCGCCTGGCTTCTCTGTCTTCCAGTATCTCCCACTCAAAGCTTGGCTGTATCGCGATGGCTTTGCTCGGTTCTCCAACACGCGCTTCACGCTGAACACCATCGACGACCATTGTATCCCAACTGGTTCTCACCCCTCCTAGTGTGCGTCGAAAGGGGACATCCCTTTCCCGGGGCTAGGGGTAGGGACCTTTGCTACAGGATGCCTCTGGGCTTGGCACCGGGAGCCGGCTGTTGAGACTGCTGCTCCCTTCATGCTGAGCTGTCCAGCCGGTCAAAAGTAACAGCATTGCACGGAACTGGCAGATCTGGGCTGCAGCAGTTCCGATCAAGGACTCCTTTCAAGGCCACGGAGGATCACCCACCACGTGATGTCAAATGTGGCCCTGCCTGGGGAGTTGCCTTGTGCCAAGTCAGGGCATCAGTGCACCTGGCGGAGCATATTCTGTCTACACTGACACCTTTTCAGGACTTTGGATAGGCCCTGATATGCCAATCTCGACCCCCTCTCTCTCTAACTGCCACCAGTCTCGGCTTCCTGATTCCTGCACGTCAGATACACCTCTTTGTTAACAAAGGCCAGAAAAGTTCCTGGTTTCTTTTGGACGACACCTTCTGGAATCTTCTAGTCCTGCTGATGAGAGGTATTCTGGGAACTGTAGTCCAAAAGTAATTTCCCAAACTCTGTGTGATCTTACTCTGTCCAGTAAATATTCTGGGATGAATACTTAAAAAGTGAAAATGGGTTATATCTTTATTAGACCGCTGAAATCTCAAAACCCCATTACGTTTTCAAGTCTTGTTATGTTGATCGTGGCGGGTGGGAATCATGCAGAAGTAGAGCTGGACGGTGCAACCCCTTCCCAAAGAAGAAAATGCACAGCTGAAATGGTCGTGACCAATGGCCCTCCAAACTTTGATCAGAAATCTCCTGTCAAGGAGGGTTTGCCTTCTGAGGTCACCTCTTGAACAGCCGTATCTGTCAAGAAGATGGAGATTTTCAAGGATCATCCTTGGGAGAGGTTGAAACTTCAGGGTCTCCAGATTTAAAGTCCCAAGACAGTGGCCACGAACTCAAACGAAACAGTTTGAGGTCCTGGGTTTTTAACTCAAGGAATGCATAAGTGGTTGGGCTGTTCCATCTCTAGGGTGGACAGAACCCTCACCTATGAGGCCATATGTGGCTCTCCAGAATCATCATTTTTATGGCCATAGGTGCTTGCTGCCAGTCACCCCCGCCAGCCATATATGTCATTTTTCTTTCTTGGAAAGCTCGTGGTCTGGCAGTTAAAAGAACCATGTGCCATTCCCTCCAGTCCCGCGCCACCTAGAAAGGACACCAGAAGCAGATTTGCAGCATTGTTTGGTTTTTCAATATTTGCTCACTGTAACGGCTGAAGCAGCCCCGCCCCACCCCTGGATTCCAGGAGTGGAAACCTGGACCCTAGACTCCCCCACTGCTGCTCTCCCAGGCAAGCCACACATTTTTTGCTGGAGACAAAGGACTGACAGTCCCCTGCTATCTTCTCTGTTGCATTAGATCAAAGCGTATGTACACCTCTGGTTTGGCTGGGAGTCAGCAAAGTCCTGAAGCATGGCAAACCCTCATACTAGAAAAACTGGAGACTAAAATTAGTTCATCTCAAAAGATTCTACCATCGGTCTAGGACTTTAAACCTTGTCTTGCCTACATTTATATTGAGAAGTATGTTTCTTTGGGGCTGTTGTTTTCTTATGCAGATAAAGAAGAGCGCTATTCCTCTTCTTACCTCCTTGTTGTCTATTTGGTACCGAAAGGTCTGTGGCCTGATGGCCGATTAGGAGGGTGGGTGGGTAGAAAAATGAACTGCAAGCTTAATGAAGCAGGCACGCTTTAATCTTCTGTGTGCCAAGAGTGTTTCTTTCCATGTTCAGCGTCCTTAACTCTTTCTTCATGCCAGATGTTCACCTGACCAATGTTGCCGTACAGAAGACAGCTCCTTACTACGATCCTGCATGGCCAGTGTGATTTAGACACGGAACGCTGTTTACCTTCCCACCGAGATGGTACCTATTTGAAGCAGGCACGCTTTTATCTTCTGTGTGCCAAGAGTGTTTCTTTCCATGTTCAGCGTCCTTAACTCTTTCTTCATGCCAGATGTTCACCTGACCAATGTTGCCGTACAGAAGACAGCTCCTTACTACGATCCTGAGAAGGTGAGGAAAGACGTCCACGACATGAGTATGTGTCCCCTCTCACAGAACAGCTCAATGAGATAGGTCTCTAGCTCAGAGCCAGAGGTTAGGAGTTTGATTCCCCCCACTGTGCCTTTTGGGGGAGAAGAGCCAGCCTGGGCCAGCTGCACCATCCCAGGGGCACCCCCCAGAAGAAGGGAAGAGGGGGATACCACTTTTGAACATTCCGAACAGCTCAATGAGATAGGTCTCTAGCTCAGAGCCAGAGGTTAGGAGTTTGCCTTTTGGGGGAGAAGATGAGCCAGCCTGGGCCAGCTGCACCGTCCCAGGGGCACCCCCAGAAGAAGGGAAGAAGGGGATACCACTTTTGAATATTCCCGACCTTAAAAACCCTGAAAAGCGTCACTGTGAATCGGAATTGACTTGATGGCACAAGATTCTTTGGGTAACTTATGGGAAACAAACAAAAAAACAATTCCACTGTATCAAATCAGAAGCAGTGTCAGTACCGCAAAGCGACAACAGCGCAACCACAGAGAGCACAGCATTTTATGCTGGGAGGTGACTCAGAATTTAGGAGAAATACTTTTTCACCAAGCGGCGTGACTGAGAGCAACACGACACCAAAGGCGTCCAGACGGAGGTCATGTCTCAACCGTGATCCGGGGAGCCCAGCTGCTGCCCTGTGTCACATGTGGCTCTGCCTGTGTTTTAGCACCTACTGGTGCAGGCTTGCCCACCCTGGGTGGGCCTCCTTTGGAGTTGGACTGCAGCTCCCATCAACCCCAGCCAATACATTCTATTTTCTCTGTGAAGTGAGTCAAATGCTGGTCTCCCAGATGGATGGGCCTTCAGCCTCTCCCCTCCACAGTGACCATCTCTCTCTCTCTCTCTCTCTCTTTCTCTCTCTCCGTCTTTCCCTCTCTCTCTCTCTCTCTCTCACACACACACACACACACACACACACACACACATTTTCTCTCCGTCTTTCCCTCTATCACACACACACACACACACATTTTCTCTCTCTCCATCTTTCCCTCTATCTCTGCCGGCAGAACTCTTCATGCTTTGAGCCACTTTTCCTTCGAGAAGCATCTTCCAAACTGCTTTGACGGCCCTCCCCTCACTCTCTCTGCTTGTTTGTCGGTCTTGGTTGCCCTCCATTTTTCACGTGAATCTTTGGCGCCATTCATCAAGGGCAGGACGGCCTCGGTGCTTCTGTTTCATGCTCTTATTAATGCCCAGTCCCCATGCGGTTCCAGCCGCTGCCGGGATACCCAAGTGCCTAAGCACCATTCTTTGGCGACCGGTCCCATGCCAGTGGTCCCAGTTGTTTGGGCCCATGTCCCTTTCAGCTTCTTGTTGGCCTTTCATCCTTCATCAGCCAAGCCTCATGTGCATGGGAACAGAATGAGCCTGTGAGGTGGGTGGGGATGAGAGAGAGAGAGAGAGCTGTTCAAAAGGAGTTCAGGGTTCTGTTTTTCTCTTTGGGGTCAGGGGTGCAAGTGGATGATCCAGAAGTTCCGTCTCTACCTGACGGCCAAGCACGGCCCGGAAGCTGTGGAGGCCCTCTTCTCCGAGATGGACAACATCTTCATCAAGAGCCTGCAGAGCGTCCAGAAAGTCATCATCAGCGACAAGCATTGCTTCGAACTCTACGGTTACGACATTTTGATCGACCAGGACCTCAAGCCGTAAGGAGGAAGGAGGACCGGGGCGGGGAGTGGGGGAGGTGGACACAATCCTGCACTTTCCTCCTGGACGGAGGCAGAGGGAGTGGCGCAAAAGTGGGGTGGTCACCACAAGGCAGAGGAAGGGCTGCAAAGGTAAGGGAGTAGGAGCTTCTCAAGAAAGAGGCTTCAAGGGCCCCTATCCTCCTCACCAGGCTTCCCGCCAGGTGTGTTGTACCATAACCTCCAGCATCCCCAGCAGATTTCCCCCTAAGACTTTTTGGGTAGACATGGGTGGGGGGCAGAATATGGGAGAGAAACAGGCCTTTGGACCTTGGCTTTCTTGCACCTTTTGTGTCGTGGTTGGGCAGAACCAGCCTAATCCCCAGGAAGAGCAAAAATGGGTAACTGCAGGGGTTACCAGTGAAGTTGTCTTATACGCTGGAAGCGGCCGGTTTTCTGTCTAGCTTTGGCCGGCAGTAGCCCAGGTATCCTTCGATTTGTATTCCTGCCTCGAGGGGAGGGGGGTTGGACTTCACGGCCTTATAGGCCCCTTCCAACTTAATGATTCTATGATTGCCCTCCATGGCCTCAAACCTTTGCTAGCTTTGCAATTGCAGCGTCTTATCTGGAGATGCCAGGGAATGAACTGTAGAAACCAGCAGCTTTACCACCGAGCTACAGATGCTCTTTAGATGCCTTTTAAATCTGCTAAGGTTCTGGTCATCTCAGGCACAGAGAACGCTGCAATCCACAGGGCATTCATCCGGTCGTGGGAAAGTACGTTTCTTCCAAATCTAGGAAGCACACAAAACGCACCCCAGAGATGTCTAGAAGTGCTGCCCTCATACAGAAGACAATCATTTCCACATACATTTTCAGAGAGAAATGTTTTCTTCTGTTTTACATCCCACCTTTCTTCCAATAAAGAACCACAAGGTGGCATACAACAATTAAAATATATATGTATAAAACCACAATAAATCAAAACATTAGTGTTAAAATAGGTTTAAACTAAATAATGCTCCAACTACCGTACAACTGCACTCATTTCACAGGCTAGCAAGGTTATGCTCAAAATCCTCCAAGGTAGGCTTCAGCAGTATGTGGACCGAGAACTCCGAGAAGTACAAGCTGGATTCCGAAGGGGCAGAGGAACTAGAGACCAAATTGCTAACATCCGCTGGATTATAGAGAAAACCAGAGAGTTCCAGAAAAACTCTACAGTGGTGCCTCGCATAACGAGCGCCTCGTAGAGTGATTAAATTGCTTAACGAGGGGCTCTGGGCCATCACTGGAGCATTCGCTCAGCGATGGCCCCTATGGAGGTTTTTCACATTGCGATATTCGCTAAGCAATTTGCTTAGCGAATATTGCATAACGAAGCGGGGGAGAACAGCTGATCGGCGGTTCCAAAATGGCCGCCGGAAGGTCCCTGCCGCATTTTCGCGCCCTGCCCTCACTTACCGAGGGTGCGAAAATGG